ATATATAATACACTATTACATTACTGGAATTATTTTCCAAAATAATTGATATACTACTTTTAAGAGCAGATGCCTATCGTCTATTTGAAAAAAAAAAATACGAATAAGGTATGAAATAAGATATTATATGATCATTACAAACATTTTATTATATTATCAGTTTAGACATTGTATTACATTATTGGGCAAGTTTTTACATTAAGGTGTGTTATTACATTTTAGGCCCAGCTAACTGCACAATATTATTACGCTTCTGGGTGTTATTACATTATTGGGAAATTATTACATTATTGGGCTCTACAAGTGTTTAATCTACTGCTTAATACATAGTAGATCCAGAAAAACTACTGAGCAACATCTAACACTATTGTCAGAATGATTCATCAAACTATTTCATTCATCTTTAAACAGACATAAATGCTCATTTATCGACCTGCCGAAAAATACACACGAGCAGAGACACGTTTGTACAAAACATCCCTTTTCCCGGCCTGTCTTTTGCCTGTCTGTGTAACAATGACTGACAGAAACAGAGAAAGGGAGATGGGAGAGACGAGAGCGAGAAAGAGAGAAAGACAGTCAGAGATGGCACCGGCAAAGAGACAGCCAGTCAGCCAGAAGCAAGACAGGGCCTCTCTTTGAACACTGGAGAGAGAGCCTAGAGACTAAAACGCAGCCTGTTTCTCTGTATGAAATAATCCACTCGGATGAAACACCCCTGGGAGGTAATCAGAACAAAAATGAACGGGTCATATACAGTAAGAAATACAGGCATGGTCTAGCCAGGCGCTGTCTAGATAGAGGACTTTCGGAAGACCTTGAAAAGATTGGTTTGAAGAGAAGATATGAAGGCCAGACAGGGCACATAGAGCTCCACAGAGCTGCTGAACGCAAGCTGAGAGATTTCTGACAGGCAAGAGAGAGGGAATATGAGCTCTGAGCCCAAGAGACGATAAAAACCAAAAGAATAAAGAAAATAAATGAGAAAAATAGCTCCACAGTGCCTGTCTACAAGGGCCATAGTTTCCAGCCTCGCGCTATAATTCTTGCCTGCGGAATGAATGGCTCAGATTTTCAATCAGTCCACAAATGAAGTCAATGCGAGTGCCCAGAAAACCCATAAACAAGCAAACAGCCCGGCTATTCCTGGATATTAGAGACATTAATCACATTAAAAGGCCTGCAGAGCGGATCTGTGATGACTGTAATGATGGAACTACCTTACACATGGGAGGCCGCTCCAGAGCCACTCCATGTGGCTACAGTAATTAATTACTGCATTAAACCAGCCAGTGGACATAAGTGTGTGTGTGGGCGCTTGTGCATTTGAGAGTAGGTGTGTGTGTGTGTATGTGTGTGTATGTGTGTGTGTGTGTTTGTGAGTATGTGTTTATATCTATCCTTTTATATCTCTCTGCCAAATATTTGACAACTGCTTCTTATGGTCAGTGGAGTGAAGTCACCTAATTGAAAATCTGTTTTTTTTTTATTTCCTCAGAGGCTGCGAGTCATCCTTTCCTCTCTGGATGACTGCTGCTGTGACATGAGATCACAGTTTTAATGAGGGCCAAGTCCCACTGCACACAACTATACTAATATTGTATGAACAGAGCTTCCTGTCAGAGACCATGCACATTAAAATAGATTTTCAGGTGTAGTAAAAACACAATGTACACATTTTTTTTAAATAAAAAACAAGACATCTTGGACTAAAAGTCCACATACATATGGCCCTGTCTGCTGAAGTAGTTCAAATTGCAATTCCACAGTGAAAAAAAAACTATAATAAAACATTAAATGTTCAGATCTCAGATATTTGCAAGGATTATGTTATGATCTAAAAAAGCAATGATGATTTAAACAATGCATTTATTGATTTTTTTTAATATTGTTTTTAAAAGATCTTTCTGATGTCTTTCAAAGTGAAACTGAAAGATGTAGATTTATCATATAGTTTAATTTTTAAATAAAAATAATTTAAAAAAAACTGTTAAAAAATGCCATCCCACATTTTCATGTCACTACCAAAACACAAAGAGTTTTAGACCATAGGTGGAGTCTTATTTTAGCCACACCCCTGCATTTTAGAGCAGGAAGTGACTAAAGTAAGGCTCTGCCTTGCTATCCTTGCTGTCACATAGTGAGCAATTAGATCTCATCGTTTTGAGGTAAATGTGTCCCAAAGTCTGTGTGTAACATTAAAAAACACACATTTTCTGTAATTAACGTTTTTGTGTTTTAATAAAAAATATTGTCATTTTATGTGTTCAACTGTTCAAAGCTGTGTTTGCTAGTCATGTACAGGCTGACATTTTAGAGTTATGCTCAAAATTACTAAAATTGTCATTACTGAAATAGTCACTACTGAAACATTTAGAGGTGTTAGTATTATATTGATAGTGTAAAATGGAATGTAAAATCACTTGTTTTAACAAAATAAACATAAATAAGGTTTAGGGTCATTTTAAGCAATGATTTTAGTCTAAAGTTGAAGTCAGTTAAAAATCTGAGATGTGTTTTCTACTCTGACTTTGAACCAATTCAGTTGAATGATCCATATGCAGTCGTATGCTGAAGTTTGGGCACCCTTGGTGAAATTATATGTTTTATTGATTTTATAAGTGAAAATAAATTAAAACATCCTCTATAGGGAACTGAACTCGTATATGTAAAAGTACTGTTTATTTGCCTAATTTAACAGACTGAAAAAAACAGGGAAAAAACAAAAAAAAACTTTTTTTCCAACATGTTACACTCAGCTAAGAAACAGAAACTGTACACTAAAATTTACAGAAAAATGCCATATTTAAGTCTTCTTTTAATCTATTTTTTCAACAAAACATGTAATTTGGCCAGGGGCGTTAAAACTTTCACTCACAACTGTAGACATCAGCTACCCTTACATTGTATAAACATTTCTTGCAGAATAGACCAACAGAACTGATCCACAATCACTAGTGATTATCTTGTTACATTAATGATTCATCCCAATTACCATTTCAGAGATCCAAGGTTTTGTTATGAGAGTGGCAATATACATTATGTTGTTGCTGCCAGATCAGAACGTCATAACTTTCATTTTTCAACACGTTTTGAAAACTTTACCATTGTGTGAACATTTCATGACAGAAGGACTAATACAAATGGTCCAAATGGAAGAAAATCTTGTAACAATAAAGTTAACCTGAAATTCAAAATGGACTTTTTCACCTACTGAGTTCATGTCCCTAATATTTGTGATATCAATTCAAATAAAAAGCATAATTCTTGTTTTTCTATAATCTTCCATCAAAACAGATTCGTAAATTGTCTTCTGTGTTTTGATTACATCAACTTGTACCAGTGGGCAGGAAATAATGATATTAACCAATAACATCATCCCTCCCACCAACTACCATCAAGCAAAATGCTGAACTAGCTCACAGTCTCTCCTGAAATGTTTCATTCAGAAATGTCACAGTATGGAAGAGCAATGTGCTATGCTTTTGGATTCACGCTGACTTTAATGTATAAAGTACAATAATTTTCCTTCACCCGTAAAGCTATGAGGCTTTGAAACGACAGTGATATATTCTTCCTAAGACTTCTTTGTCTTAACTTTTGGTAAATAGGTTATTATGTTTCTTCAGATGCCTTTCTTTAAAAAGAAAACTTTCTCCTATGAGATTTTGTGCTCAATACACCAAAAGCTCAGAAAAACTTGCCCTAGTTATTATTTTTTCTTGCTGGGAGCCTAGTTTAAAAGATAGGGCAAAGCAGAAGTAGAGACAAGTTGGTTAAATATGTGTCTGTGTCCCAAAACTAGGCTATAATGTTCTCTAAATAAACCAGCATCTCATTATGGAGAAAGGCAGCCTGCTGCTCTGGGGATTACTGTGGCTAGACTGACACACAGAGAGCGTGTGAGGCGTACAGACGCTCAGGTTAGCACTGATCCTGAGGGAGAGCAGGGGAGTCAGGAAAAGAAAGGAGGGGGTGAACTGTAATTAGATTCAAAATGTAGGCTTTGGAGAAACGGCTCTTTTCTCCAGAGCTCTTCATAAGGAAACAGCCTATATTGAGCCACATGACCACAGCCACTGTGTGTATGTGTGGCTGTGTGTGTTATTATTGGTCAGGTGTGTTTTGACACTCTTTGTTTCAGCACCTCATAACATGAAAGCTCTGTCTAAACAAAGTTGTTGCATATATGAGTGTAACCACGCCTGTTTGTGCACAAAAGGAAAAATAGGGGCTCAGACTTTTTTGAAAAATACACTGAACCGATAACTACAGCTTATGTTAGAAAAGAGTTCTTTGGAGCGATGCCATAGAAGAACCACTTTGGGTTCTCCAAAAATGATTAGTTTAAATGGATGGTTCTTAAAAAGAGTAACTCAATCATATATGCTAACATGGCTAATAATGTATAGAGGCTAGTACCACCAATTAGTATGATGTGATTTGCATAATGTAAATTGGTGGCTCTTTGATAGAGTAGTTCAACCAAATATGCTAATATGGCTAAAAATAAATGGAATCCACCTTTAAATAATGATGTAATTTGCATAATGCTAACTGGTGGCTCTTCACTATATGAGTGTGAAAAACCTTTTGGATGTTGAAAGGACCTCCACGTTTTATTCACTTATTCATTTGACTAACTTTTACCCAGTTTTATCCACAATTTGGTCATATTCAATGCCACTCGCTAGTTAGATCTCCCCCATTACATGATGCTACCAAGCTGGAAGGGTGAAAGCTAGCATGTGCTTCCTGCGAGTCATGTGAAGTGCCACCCCATCTTTTTCAAACTGCCGCTGACGTGACATCATTGGACAGCTCAATGTATGTGGAGGAGAACGCTAACTGTTAATTCTGTTTCGTCAGCTAAGCGATGCCCACTGTGCTGAGTAACGGAGTAAACAGAGTAAACAGAGTAATGGAATAAATGGAGAACCAATTAGGAATTGTACAATATGGAGATTTTTTTTAGATTTTATATGTAATTTCAAGCTCACCGATGAGGTTGGAGCGCCCATCACCAAGTGGGTAACGCTGGTAACGCGGCACAGGGAATGGGGGTAGCCGGTGGAAGCAAGAGTGCAAGAGGGGCTCCAGTCTTGAGGCCGAGGGATCCGAAGGGTAGAACAGGTTGAATATCTGAGAACAGGCAGGCCGCAGCTGAGTCACTGCAGTGAAGAAGCCAGCAGAAATGAGGATATGAGTCAGAATGCACACGCAGAGTACAGGCTTCATAATAAATAGATTGTTTTCTATAGATGACAGAGGTGGAAGATTCTGTGCTACTGAAGGCTACTGTGGTGACAGCACTGCAGCTGACTCTGCTGCAGTGCAAGCAAGGCAGGAAATTTGAAAATAATTGGCCTGCTTGCCAGGCGGAAACTAACAGTGCATTCAGAGGACAATGTGTCAAGAGTAATGTGCTAGAGAACATCCATGCTCGTGCTTGTGTGTATGTGTGTGTGAGTGTGCTTTGCTGTGGGACTCTCACCCTGTACAGAAGGAAGCACAGTCCGTCTCATGGCTAACACCAGTCCGAGTGGGCAGCCTAGCAGGAAACATTCGGAAACCTCGAAATCAAAACGGCCTGGATTCAAAATTGGACTGCTGCCTGTTGACTTCGGGTCTACTCCATCCTGTATCAGACTACATACACAAAGATAGAAATAAATACATGAATAAGTTTGAGGCCTAACCAGGTTTATAAAGAATTTATTAGCTTCAGGGATGACTGGATGGGACAAACTTCATGCCACTCGTTAAACTCAACTAATAAAATAAGAAGTCTATACCTAATTTGTAATTTTATTTCGATATACTGTGCACAAATTATCTGTCAGAATGAATTATTTTGCAGGTTGAAACATTTCAATTTAATTTTCATGGGAGACATGGGCATTTTCAGTCCATTTAAGCATAAGCTACACTTATCATTTTGATATTTCATTTTCCATATTACAACACAAAATTAAAATAAAAACACTGGTGCTGTCGAAGTTAATGTGTTAATAATGAGTGAACACAATAATGATTAATGCCACAATTTATTTTAATGCCACAAAGACATCATCATGGACCATCAGCAGTGCAGGCTAAAGCCCAGCTGCACACTCTGTATGATGCTACGATAGAAACTGTGGGAGACCTATGGATAAATTAACAAGCAGCAATACCACTATACTGTTTTGTGTCTGTCCTCTTATCCGGTGTCGACCAGAGGAGGATGGGTTCCCCTTTTGAGTCTGGTTCCTCTCAAGGTTTCTTCCTCCTTTTGAGGGAGTTTTTCCTTGCCACTGTCGCCAAGGCTTGCTCACTGGGGGCTTGGACCCGGATTCTTTGTAAAGCTGCTTTGTGACAACATCTGTTGTAAAAGGCGCTATATAAATAAATTTGACTTGACTTGACTTGACAAAGGCAACAGCGAAGTGGAAAGCTACAATTTCCCTTGAGAGCCTCCACTGTACCAAGAATACATGAGCTGTATGAACGAGAGGCTCCAATCGTGGAGGACCTCTGACTGTACACATGATATACACCTATCAGGCATAACATTATGACCACCTCCTTGTTTCTATGCTCATTGTCCATTTTATCAGCTCCACTTACTATATAGGTGCACTTTGTAGTTCTACAATTACAGACTGTAGTCCATCTGTTTCTCTGCATACTTTGTTAGCCCCCTGTTCTTCAGTGGTCCTGATAGTCCTTATATAGTAAGGTCCTTATATAGTAAGTGGAGCTGATAAAATAGACAACGAGCGTAGAAACTAGGAGGTGGTCATAATGTTATGACTGATAGGTGTATATGGTGTATACACTCATTGGTTGGAACATAGAGTCACTGCTGCTCTCAGTGGATGTCACTGATGAAAACTGCATTCAGTCTATGGAAATTACTTGAGTTTTACATCCAGGTTCATGTAAAACATGATGAAAATAATTTTGATTTATTGAAATATATTCTAATGCCCACTCATAGAGCTATAACAAAACGCACCGTTTTTAAATAAATTAAAAAAAAAACTTCAGGGTCAAATGCAATTAATCATTATTAACTGCACAAAAGTAATGCAATTTATTGCAATTAATTATTTCAATCATTTAACAAGTCTTAATATTACCCCATAAAATACCAAAGTACACTTTTAGAACTATAAATAATTCTCAAATCTTTAACTCAGGCCAGGGTCCTAAAATGTAGAACTAAAGCAAGACATATTCTCAGTGTCTCCACATGTTACACTGATGCCATTATTTACCATTTCAGACGGATAAGCCATCTGAGAGCACCTAACAACACTTGTGAGGTCCACCTCAGGCAGCAGTACAGCAGAAGCACTTTGAAATGGAAGCAGGTGCTGAAGTGTAAACTATTCGCCAGTGTGAATACAGATATATTGATTCACAACAACAGACTCTGACTGTTTCTTTTTCTATGCTCAAGAATCAAGATTTCTACTTCTGGAAAGACCTGTTCACCTGGATGAACTGATGTTTTATTAAACAATTTTGATTCTGTGTAAAACTAAAACAGGTGCTCATAGTAAACGTCCAGGTAAGAAGCAACTAGGCAACCTGCAATTCCTTACAACACAAACACACAGTGAGCGGTTGAACCTGTGGTGTTCACTCCAAAACAGTCTCACTCCAACAATGACTCCTTTGTTGTTCACATCAGTAGCACAGCTATATTTTGTTAGCAAGCTACAAGGCCATATATGATCAATAGGAATGTTGACCTCCTTGCTGTTTCGTAGTTGGTAAATAGCGAGTATGCAAGTTATTTTAAATGATGAAAAAGCAAGTTCACACTGCTGCTTTGTCTTTGCAACACTCTGCAACTGTGTTGTGTGAATGTTTGGTCCTAATAGACTGGACTGAAGCACATGATGACAAAGAAAAGAAAAGAAAAAAAGTTATGAATTTTAGAACTTAATTTAAATTTTCCATGAAACAAATTAACAGAAGAATTACATGAAGAAAACTGCCAACCAGTAACAGCAAGCTGTGTAAATTAAGTAAAAATTACAGCAAAGTTTTTCCCATGTGTCTTATCAATATGTATTCTAAATGTATTCTGAATATGATGTGGGAGAGGCCAATATTTCTGCCATGAGAAGAGCTCTTTTATTTAGACCAGCAGGAAAGGCACACACACAAACACAGCCAGGGAGTAGGCAGGCCACTTCTAGCCATACAATGCCTCCATAAATCCCTCCACTATATCACTACAGTTCAGCATTAAATAACACAAACAACACATACACACACCTTCAACCAACAAACAACAACAACAGCAACAAATGTCCTTTTCAGTGAGGGGAGCAGTATGCATGGCACAGCTCTGCCAATGTCCTTATAAGAAAGTCTGTTAATTTGACGGCCATCTTTCCAATGCTGCTGGTCAGTTATTTCCAGCCATACAGGAGCAGACTATCGCTTTGAATGGGGAGTGACCTAAAAATCTGAAACCGAAGGTTAAATTACCTTATGTTTTTCAAAAACTTATTCGTAATCACTGGTAAAATCAGACAAAAACCTAGTTTGTAGTGTTTGGCTCAGTAAAACACAAAAAACACATTTTTTTTCGGGTTGTTCTCCTTACTGCGCTTGCACAGATCTTCACAATGAGGGAGAGCTTTCTAGCTAGAACACAAACTAAAGTTGCCTAGCTAGCTAACATGCTAACACATTAAATATATGAAAAAAAAATTTACACAAATTATTTGCGGAATAGATCACTGAACAATATTGTTACATCAAACAAGATATTAGAAAATGCTGCTTGTTTTGGCACGAGGTGTAGCTAATTTATTCAATAGGCATAACTGATTTACATGATTTTCAAAAAGCACCAACTAGTGATCAGAATCTATTGAAAATTGTTCCATGCAGTTGAAGCCTAGACTGTGTACAATCATGGAGAAGATGTCTGAGATGGGCATCTTCCTTGAACAACAAGGAAAATTACAAATAAGCCATCAGACACAAAGGTCCACACAGTGGGGAATGGTCAAAGGTACATGAAGCTCGTCTGCACTGGACAAGCCCATTCATTGCAGAGCCATTAACCTTTATTTGTGATAGTCAGCAAATCCTTCTTTCTTCCTTTATATCATCTGGTCATCCTTAATAGAGAACGTCCCCATTCATCATCCACAGCAAACAAATCTGTGAAAATGGGATCTTTGAAATTCTGCTCGCCAAACTAAGCGCTGGTAAATCAGTGAAAGCACCAGGTTTAAGCACATCCGTTTATAGAGCTTATATTAAAAAGCCATCATCAGCTAAGAAAGCCAAAGAATACATTTCATTAACCAACAGAGTTGCTAAACTGAATTGTTGTATGCATTAAATGCCAAATCAAATCCAAATAGCTCCTTTTCAATAAGCTGTTTACAAAGATTTGCTATATCTTTCTAGTTTCCTCACAGGCAATGGTTGAAAATTATTAAGGGGGATGGAAGGTTCAAACAACCTGGTTGTTTAAGGGAATTACAGAAACCCTCTGTTTCTTGTGCTGTGGACCTGCCTATGTTGGTGTAACTCGGTGTTAATCTTAAATATGGATGCAGTTGAAATATTGATAATACCCAAGTGATTTCACAGTGACACTGACCCAAAGGCGAAGGCAGTTTTCAAAGAGGGATTACTGTTGCAACTACAGCATATCATTTGTGAATATCTAAATAATTTACATATGTTTCATAAATGAGAGGCATTGTTTGTACTGGATTTCAAGTGTGTACTAACAATCTTGAGCATGAAGCTGCTTAAATACTAATAATGCTATATAAAGCTAATATGATGTCCCAGCTGTCACAGTTCCCCTGGTTAGGTGAGAATGGTCTGACTGCAGAGCTGCAGATGTACACCTGTAGTTTCACTCCAGCAGTTTCAGGCCAGTGGAACGCATGTGCAGCAGGACAGCGCGATTGTGCCATGTAAACAAAGTGCTTATAGCAAAGTTGAGCATTACGAGCGTTCCCATTCGTATTTCAACCAGTAGTCAGTCCCTTCATTTTTAACGTCTCTGATGTGAACAGCCACTGTTTGTGCTGGTTGTATTTGTCACCATGCATTTTACCATTCAGGAAGGGATATCGTTGCCAATATACAAATCAACCATTGGTGACCGGTTAAACCATAAGCCTAAACACTTCATGAAACCATCAGAAACAAAAAGTAACACTCAATGGCTTCTATGGATTTTTTCAACAGGGATACATTCAAAAACTAAAGTTTGTTTTCGCCTAAAGCTAAATTTAAGCCTGGTTGAGGTAAAGTTTTATTCCTGTACATGTGTACATATAAAGCCCCTGTATTAAGTGCAAGTTAATTGAGCTATTATGTCTACATAACCCATTCATTTATCCAGGCCACATAAGCTGTAGTTTGTGTAATATTTACCCTGTGAATCTCTATACGCATTCAAACCAAAGTTTGTTTTAGCCTAAAGCTTAAATATAACATTAGCCCAACACAAATTTATCATAAATGTTAAGGAAACCAATATAAAACAACTGAAATGTTGATTAGCATAAATCTCGCTAAGAAAAACCAAAACAAGTGTCGGCACATGTGCTGAATGCCATTGGCTTGAACTTGCTGGAGTGAAACTGTTGGCGTGAAACTGTGGCTCGCTA